CAAACACAAACACTCTGGCAAGAAATCAATTCTCCACTGATCATCATACAAGACAAAAACAGACATCGTGCTCTCAAAAGCTTCTAGATGGTGAGCAATAGAAACAGACTCTTTCTTGGAAGTGACGTCACCGAAACTGGAAGTGGAGCTTCTTGCGTTTTAAGCATTGTTGCATCCATTCGGGGGACTTTTAAACCTGTTACGACACCTTTTTCTGCCTCTGAGCCTTTTTTCAAAAATGTTAAAATTTAAAGGGGGAAAACCCCCTCCCAAAATTTTTTTTTTGGTGACTTTTAACCCATTGCAGTGTGTTTTTACCAAAGCATGACCACAGGGATAAAACATGAGTTGATTTCAGCCTTAAAAAGTCAAGGAAAAAAAGCTAAAAAACGCCCATTTACTCAAACCGGAAGTGACGTCACAAACCCCGAATGGCCTTTTAACAGCTTTTTTCACATACCTTTTTGTGTTTTAAACATTGTTTAATTTGTTTGGGGGATCTTTAAACTCATTATGACACTTTTTTCTGCCTTTTTGAGCCTTCTTCCAAAACTGTGAACATTTTAAAGGGGCACGCCCCCCTCAAAAACATTTTATGCACCTTTTTACTTATTGCAGCATCTTCTTACCATAGAATGAAGAGAGGGATAAAACAAGAGTTGATTTCAGCCTTAAAAAGCCAATAAAAGGGCTTGGAAATGGTAATTTCCTCAAACCAGAAGTGACGTCTCCTGAAACCAGATGTTCTCGAGAGACCTGGCCACCAAGACAGCCTGGGTTTTGACATCTGTGTCTAGGTTTCAGTCTGCCTGAAACCTGGACACAGATATCTCCAGACCAACCATCATGTGCCACTGCCAAAGCAAGTGCCAGGTGCTCTGCTCTCAGTGCACCACAACACCAGTGAGGATTCCAATGCTGTTTCAGCCCAGCACAGCAGCACCTGCCCATACTCCCCCTTCTCTACCCCTGCACAGTGGGAGGAATATAGCGCTATAGTAAAGCTGCTCCACCTCTCAGCTCCGCCCCCCAAACTACAGCTTCCACTTTTCCTTGGTCGCAGCGCCTCCCACCGGTAGAGAGGGTTAACTGGGGTCTTTAGGGGCAGGAGTCACTAATATGAGAAGACTCTGACCTAATTGCTTCTGTAAGGGGGATCTAATGGAGGTCTCTAATGGGTAGGGGGGGTGCATGAGACTCTGACCTAACTGGTTCTGTAAGGGGGGTGCTGATATAAAGTGACCCTGAGCTAATGGGGGGTCTCTAAAGGGGGGAGCCCTGAGGAAGTCACATGATATTGTGACGCAACGCGTCGGCCTGACGTGGTGACGCACTTCCGGCGTGGTGGCCATCTTGGTGCACCTTTTTTGATTCCTGTACACCCATGCAGATTACACCCAAAAGCATAGGGTTGTAAAGCTGTCATCTTTGAGGACGGATGTGAGTCGTCTCCATATGTCTATGGTTTGTTTTCCATTAAGTTTACTTGCTACACTATGGGAGATTGTGTTTATTTTTTTGGCACATACCCATATCCCATAAGAGGAGCCACTGCTTGATTATCGACCCCTAGAGAAGGATATCTATGGATGGGGAAAGTGGATCAGTGGATATCAGTAGATGCTGAGAGGATTTGAGGGTTTGATCCCACTATACGCTTTGACCTTCACGGGTCGAAGCTTGGAGGTGAGAGGCTAATCTAGCCGTGTGTTGGAGTTTCTGCACCTGGAGTCACTTTACGATCACGTGTGCTTGCAATTGCAGTAGTGGTGTCACCCACCCATTGGACATTTGTCTACACATTTTTTTATTTTTCATTTGTGTTTTTAGTGTGAAATTTTTTGCACTTTATTTGCATGATTGATCACAGTTTAATTACTATAATTGTTTATTGCTTTCATGTGTTAGAAATTGTCACTAATATTCTTACTACACAGTATTTATACACTATATTTTTTATGATATTAGTTTATTATATATTTTTGATCACTATGACCACTTGATTATTATTATATATATATTTATTATTTCACGAGGTGTATTATATTTGTTATATAGATTTTAAAATAATTTTTTGATTTTTATGAGTAGCGCCACATTTTTTGATTTTTATCTCTAAAGGGGGGTGCTGACTACTGATCTAATGATTGGCGACAAGCCATTAGATCAGCAGTCAGCAACCCCCCCCCCCCGAGACCCCCCACTAGATCAGAGTCCCTCTATATTAGCATTCCGCCTTAAAGGCCCCCAATTAGATCAGAGTCCCCTTATATCAGCCCCCCTTAGATCAGAGTGCCCTTATATCAGACCCCCTGGCAATTCCCTTAGACAGCCCTGGGAGGGGGGGTGGTGCTGTAAAAAAGGGACTCTGATTTAATGGGGGTCTCTATGCAGGGCCCCTGTATTATGAAGGGGGGAGTGACACTTAGTGTCGCCACTTGAGACTCACCCAGACAGTACAGGTTTTGAGTAATGTGTCCAGGTTTCAGTCCGCCTGTATCTTTCCTATATGGGGATGTTGATTCGTTTTGAATTGGGCAGTCCCTTTGCTAAATCTATGGGGATGCCTCTTTGCTCGATTGGGCTGTCTCTTTGCTGAAAATATGGGGATGCCTCTTTGCTGGATTGGGCTGTCTTTTCGCTGAATATATGTTGATGCCTTTCAGATTGGGCTGTCTCTTTGCTGGATTGGGCTCTCTCTTTGCTGAATATATGGGGATGTCTTTTTGCTAGATTTGGTTGTCTCGTTGCTTACTATTTGAGGCTGTCTCTTTGCTGGCTTGGGATGTCTCTGTGCTGAATATATGGAGCTATGTCTTTGCTGAATATATGATTTCTCTTTGCTGGATTGGGCTCTCTTTTCTGAATATTTGGGCTGTCTCTTTATGAATATATGGGGATGTCTCTGATAAATATTTGGGGCTGTCTCTTTTCTGGATGTGGCTGCCTCTGTGCTGTATAGGGCTGTCTGTTTGATTGGGATGTCTCTTTGCTGAACATATTGGGATGGTTCTTTGTTGAATTGGGATGTCTCTTTGCTGATAATCTGGGGCTGACTCTTTGTGGAATATATAGGGCTGTCTCTTTGCTGAATATACAGGGATGTCTGTTTGCTGAGTAAATGGGGATGTCTCTTTGCTAAATATATGGGGATGTCTCTTTGTAGGATTGAGCTGTCCCTTTGATGAATATGTCTCCTTGATGAATATATGAAGATATGTCTCTTTGCTGAGTATATGGGGATGTCTCTTTGCTGGATTGTGCTGTCTCTTTGCTATTTGGGGTTGTCTCTTTGCAGACTATTTGGGCTCTTTGCTGAATACGTGGGGCTGTTTCTTTGCTGAATATATGAGGTGTCTCTTTGCTGAATATATGTGAAAGTCTCTTTGCTGAATATACAGGGATGTCTGTTTGCTGAATATATGGGGCTGTCTCTTTGCTGAATATATGGGACTCTTTATTGAATATTTGGGCTCTTTGCTGGATTAGGCTCTTTGCTGAATGTGGGGCTGTCTCTTTGCTGAATATATGGGGTTCTTTGCTGAATATATAGGACTGTCTCTTTGTTGAATATTTGGGCTGTCTCTTTGTTGAATATTTGGTCTCTTTGCTGAATATACAGGGCTGTCTGTTTGCTGAATATATGTGGATGTCTCTTTGCTGAATTGGGGATGTCTCTTTGCTGGATTAGGCTGTCTCTTTAATATATGGTGGATGTTTCTTTGCTGGATTGGGCTGTCTTTGCTGAATATATGGGGATGTCTCCTTGCTGAATATTTGGGGCTCTTTGCTGAATATGTGGGGTTGTCTCTTTGCTAAATTGGGATGCCCTTTTGCGGAATATATGGGGCTGTCTCTTTTCTGAATATATGAGGTGTCTCTTTGCTGAATATATGGGGAAGTCTCTTTGCTGGATTGGGCTCTCTTTGCTGAATATATGGGGATGTCTCTTTGCCGAATATATGAAGATGTCTCTTTGCTGATAATTTGGGGCTGTTTCTTTGCTGAATATTTGGGACGGTTGCTTTGCTGGATTGGGCTGTCTCTTTTTTGAATATACGGGGATGGCTCTTTGCTGAATATATGGGGCTGTCTCTTTGCTGAACATATGAGGTGTCTCTCTGCTGAATATACAAGAATGTCTGTTTGCTGAATATACTGGGATGTCTCGTTGCTGATAATTTGGGTCTCTTAGCTGGATTGGGCTATTTGCTGAATATATGGGGATGTCCCTTTGCTGGATTGGGATGTCTCTTTGCTGAATATAAGGGAAATATTGGTGGTTAAGCCCATTGGGAGGGCAGGCCTAAAGCTGTGCAAGGAGGTCCAAAATGTTTGATGGCTGCCCTGGTTATGTCACCAAAATCAGGAGTTGCCATTTAACACAATAGCTGAGGTATACAAGGGCTGAATATATCGGGCTGCCTCTTTGCTGAATATAAAGTGCCTTGAAAAAGTATTCATACCCCTTGAAATTTTCCACATTTTGTCACTTTACAACTAAGCCTTTTCTTGGCTTTTTTCTTACTCCTCAAGCATGACATCACCAAAACCATAAGTGGGCCTTTAACACCTTTTTTTCCATTCTAAGAATTGTTGCATCCACTGGGCATTGGGGGGACATCTGAGCACATTAAGACCCCATTTCTGCCCCTCTTGAGTCTTTTTTTTTAATGTAAAAATTGTAAGGAGCACACCCTCAAAAAAAATTGTGTGCACCTTTTTACCCATCTTTTCACCAGAATGACGAATCAGGAGTTGAGCTGAGAAGAACAAAGGCTGTAATGTTACAAAGGTAATTTACAAAATAAAAACAAAACTTCCATAAACGGTGAAGCTGTCTACAAACCTGCAATATCTTACATTACCATAACAAAGTTATTCCTGAAACTCAGAATAATCCACAACGTACTGCTCGTCACAAACCCGTGCACGCAACGTCTTTCCTAGCCCCGCCTCTTCCTAGCTTTACGTCACCCACCCTCCGCTTTTCCTGTAACATGGCGCCCACTAAGGGAGATACTGACAGTGTGGGTCGGGTGTTGGTGGACACAAGCCGACCTTTGCCAGTGCGGTTCCGGGCGCTGTTTACTCTTCGCAATATAGGTGGCCCGAATGCTGTGGAGTGGATCGGCCGTGGGTTCAGCGATAAGTCGGCGTTACTGAAGCATGAACTGGCCTACTGCTTGGGGCAGATGAGGGACCGGAGCGCGCTTCCTGTACTGTGCGCCGTGCTGAGAGATCGGAGCCAGGAGCCTATGGTGCGCCATGAGGCAGGTGAGAGCTGCCCCCTACTGGACTCACGCCGGTTTAACAGGCCATGGCTACATTTTATTAGAAAAAATGAAACCTATCAAACGTTTTTAGATGATTTTACCAATTCTTTGTATATGTAGGGCATGATCTTGTGTCCCCTGTTATCTTTAACTTCTCATATTAGGGTGTCTTAGATAATAGCTGGAACTCTTCAACTTTTGGTTGTCTCTGGCTAATTAATTTGATTATCATGCAACACTATGTTAATAATAATGATTGCCCAGCTATTGCCCATATTCTCACAATTGTTTGTTGGCTATATGACTTTGGTTAAAATAAAAAAAACAGAACAATAGTCCGCTAAGTGGTAAAAGGCAGCCACAGAATGAGTGGATAGAAAACTAAACGCTATCTGGCGTAGATTGCAGCGCTTGTGCCTTCAATATATTACACAATGTGGAACAAATATTCATGAACATACAACCATGCTTAAAATTTTAAATGAGATAAAAGCAACAACTTAAAGCGGAGTTCCACTCACCCTGTCAAAAAATAAGTCAGAAGCTACAAAAACTGTAGCTGCTGACTTTTAAAAAACAGCCACTTACCTGTCCCTCGGTCCTGTGGTGTGTCCCCCGCAGCCCGTTTCACCGGCCGTCCTGTATTCCTGGAGGCCGGCATCTTCAGTGTGGGCACCCGGCTGTGATAGCTTGCGGCTTCACAGTCGGGTACCCGCTGCGCATGTGCGAGTAGCACTGTGCTTCATGAATGGCATGAATGGCACCCTGTAGTCTTCTGGGTCCTGTCACGTGTCCCAAAGGACTACAGGGAGGCAGGATACCTTCCGCTTTCGATCGTCTAGGTGATCGGACCGGAATTGGGAGTGGGTACCTGTCAAATTCGGGTACCCGCTCCCCCCTGCCCCTCAAAGGTGCCAATCCTTGATGGGGAGCAGGGGAACAGTTCTTAAAACAAAACTTCCCCTTTTGGGTGGAGCTCTGCTTTAAGGGTAACTGCACTTTTGTTAAAGAAAAATTAGCAAATACAAAAAAAATACTGTTGGATGTTTAAAATGACCTTTCCTTTTCAATTTGCAGTGCTGTAATTTTCTGTAAAATGCAATGTGGCTTTCTGGAGGTGTTCTGTTCCCAGATAATGTACAAAATGCCCCCTGAAAATGTCATTTTCTGCGAGTGATTGGCTCACTGGTTTTCCCAGAAGTCTGCACTAATGGTGCCCATACACTAGACAATCCCAAACAATTCTTCTGGCAGTTATGGCTGCAATCTTTCTTGGTCTACCTGACCTTGGCTTGGTATCAAGAGATCCCTGAACTTTCCACTTCTTAATAGGTGATTTAACAGTACTGATTGGCATGTTCAAGGCTTTGAACATCTTTTTATGTCCTTTTCCATCTTTATAACGTTCCGTTACGTTAAGGACTTTTGACAGTTCTTTTCTGATCCCCATGGCTCAGTATTTAGCCTAGTCAGTGCTTCCACATAAGAGCTAACAAACTCATTGACTATTTATACACTGACACCAATTGCAATTTAAAAAGCCACAGATGTGGCTCTAATTGGCATTTTAACCCGTATGTGTCACCTTGTGTGTCTGTACCAGGGCCAAACATTCCAGGGTATGTAAACTTTTGATCAGGGCCATTTGGTTGATTTCTGTTATTATGATTTAAAAAGGAGCCGAACAACTATTTGATAATAAATGGCTTCATATGATCATCATCCTTCAATAAAAGAGCATTTTTTTGGCATGATCAGTCATATTTTCAATATCAATGCCAAAATTTCACAATTTCTGCCAGAGTATGCAAACTTTTGAGCCCAACTGTATGTGACAAAAGGAACGAAAAACTGATAAATTTATGCCCATTGAACAATTTATTATTTGAAATCGGTCATTACATGATGACAATATCACTTGGCCTCACAACCTTGTGTATGTTTTTCGAAAGAGTGTTGAATTTTTTTTTTTTTTTTTACTAGTATATGGCTAGCATAAGAGAGATCAAATTTTTTATATTCATGTTTTACATGTCATTTTTGGCAAGATACTCACAAAGGGAAATCGCATCTCAGCCCGGGTTCATGCTATGCGGTGCGGGACACCACATGTATTGTGCACAGGAATCGCGCTTCATTCCTGTGTGAATTACAGGCAACTGTCTGTGCAATTTGAGCCATACACTTTAGCTCAAATCGAATCTGCACTAAAAAAAGGTGCAGGAAGCTTTTTTAAATCCTCACCTGAATCGCATTGCATGGGTGTTCTTTCTGGCAATCGCATCTTTTTTTGCAGTCTGTTTTGGGGTGTCATTAATTTATCATTAACACCCGCACCAGATCACATGAACACGATGTGATTGCAATGCGGTGTGGGAAACACACAGGATTCGCAATGTTTCCCGCACCGCATTGGTGTGAACCGGGTCTAAAGGTATGCAGACCCTTCAATTTTCCTCATTAGAGCCTGCAGGTGTAGTAGCTGATTGATAAAACCACTCCCATACAGATTGCACATAGATCCAGAAAAACAAATGGCTATTCCTTCAGAATAACAAAAGGTAGGAGTCTGCTAAAGAATAAGTTCACCTTTTGACAAAAAATAAATGCACATTTTTTAGCAGGTAAAAAAATGTTTATTTTTTGTTGCAGGAGCTGTAAAGCATTGTACCAGCGATCATAAGATAGCTGGTGCCATGCAGGTTTCCTGCAGACCTGTCAGTATATCTCTTGTCCCTATGGGATGTAGGGGCAAACAGGATATACTGACCAGAAGAATCAAAGAACTACAAGTTGACAGCCGCTAAGGCTGTCAGGACTTGTAGTTAATTCACAGAACTCTGTGAATGAATGACATGGCCGTTAGGCTGAGCCCTGCACTGCTGTACTGTTTTTAAAAAGTGAAAGCTGCTATGGGGAATTTCTCCATGTATTGCTGTCACAGGGAGTGAATGTGTAAAAACAAGTGGAACGTGTTCCTAAAGGTGGACCTAACCTTTAAAATCCTTGCATTGTACATAGATCACACAGAAGAAAAGGTTTTTTCTTAACGAAAGTGGGGTTACTCTTCAAATAAATCAGCATAGTTTCATTGTTCATGCAAAAATTGAGGTGCTGTGCTTCTCACAATACACCAAGGTGCTCACAAAGCAATCCAGAAAAAAAAAAATAATAAGTTCACCTTTCCTAACCTGTTACACCCATATTCTAGGTGTTGCATGTTACGAATGGACTGGCCCCCCCATCCCCACTAGCTGTCTTATTTTTAAAAAACCACCTGGCTGCATCATTCATTCACAGTATTCTGTGAACGAGAACATTACACGTTCTGACAGCTTTTGCGGTTTTCGGCTTGTAGTTCTGAATGAACTACTATGGCTCTGTAGAGCACCATGATAGTTCATTGAGTCTTCCTATCAGTATCTGCTTTCCAGTACAAGATGTATGGGAACACATACACTGACAGATCTGCAGGAAACATGCATGGCACCAGCAATCTGCTGATCACTGGTGCAGTGCTTTAGAGGCTCCAGAAACAAAAAATAATAAATACACGTTTACCTGCAAAAAAAAGTGTATTCTGTTTTGTCTAAAGGTGTACTGATCCTTTTAATTGTCTAGTCACACAATGTGCAAATCCAAGTGTAGAGGAAACAACTTCTAAATAGATTATTAGAAGATATTCTTTCTGTGGTCACACACTACACCAGGAAGTGAATTGCACACTCACCAGAAATCTAAGCATAGAGAGCACATCAAACTAATCTAATCTCTCAGCCAGCAGGAATGCAATATAAATCTGAATATGAAGAAATGTCACCAGCAAACCAAGGATTCCTTAAACAGGTCCAAAGTTTTATTCCGTGGTCACATAGTGCAAACAAATGCCTTTGTTTTAAGTATGTGACCACGGAATACATTTTTGGACCTGTTTGAGGAATCCTAGGTGTGCTGGTGACGTTCCTTCACATTAAGTGTTCATGGTTCCCAGCCTGTGACCACTGCAGCACCCAGCAATCCCAAACCGCAAATTTCAGGAATGTATTTGTAGGGAATATTGTGATTGCAACCATAAAGCTGATCATGATCCTTTCCTCTTCTACTGCTCCCAGCAATCTATGTACAGACTGGTAGTTGTGCTGCAAAGTTCACACACACAGCAAACAAGGTAGAACCATTGTGCAGTGTAGTTTATAAAACACAAAAAAAAAAAAAAATTCAAGCAATAAAATGGCTTCAAGGAAAGAAATCCAGCATATAGAAGTCCTATGTAAGGCCACTAATTGGAACCCAATGCAGCGGTGTGATATCTGTGTTACAGCTTTGCCCAGTACGTTTTGGCCAATAAGAGTGTCTTTAGGGGCCTCCAGAATCCGACCTCTGCTGTTTTCTTTTTTTTTTTTTCCCTCACACTGTCATTCCACAGTTAGGAAGTTGCAATCTGATTGCATATAACCATGGCAAGAAAGGCCCTATATTTTAATCAAAGGCTCTGGCTAATTGGTTTGACTAACTTGCACCTGTTGCCCCAGCTTTTGCCCATGTGTTGTTCTGTTTGTTGGCCAAGTAATATCAAAATTGCCAGATTGTTAGTCACAAGCAGTTATAGATAACCCTAACTAGGATCTTTCCAACCTTCCAACAGACTGTAATTTGATTACCTTGCCCATGTGATTTCACATTCCTCTCAGTTGCTGCACACGTATAGTCACACTTGTCCAGCAGAAATGAAAGCCATGTAGATGCAATTCAGCTCTGAATAGCACGGAGGTTATTCCATACTTGCATGACCTCCTGAGAGATCATTGAACAATATCGGTATGATCATTTATATGTCCTTAACAGCCATTATATAAAACACACAGCTGATTGCTAGCTTCTGACAACACACACTTTGATCTAGCTTTTACAAATCATCCCAATTATTCCCTGTTTTAGCCATCATAGAAGTTGTCATCAATTAGTTTGGTATATTAATTTTTTTCCTGCTTTTTACTCACTAGGAGAAGCTTTAGGTGCCATTGGAGATCCTGAAATGATTGAACTTCTTAAAGAATATAGCAAAGATCCTGTTATTGAGGTAACTCTCCTTTTCAAAATGTCTAACAGTACAAACTTGACATTTGTTATGCTGCATAATTATTATCTTTATAATAAAATTATCTTTTATAGCTTTGAATATGTTTGTTGTTTGCTTAGTTCAGTGGTGGGCAACCTTTTTTTTCAACTGAGCCAAATCTCGCCAAAACCACGATTGAAATTTATTTTGAGAGCCACATTTTTAAAACTGAAAATACATCTCCCATATAGTAATTTATCCCCCATAGTAATTTATCCCCCATATAGCAATTCATCCCCCATATAGCAATTCATCCCCCCCATATAGCAATTCATCCCCCCCATATAGCAATTCACCCCCCCATATAGCAATTCACCCCCCCATATAGCAATTCATCCCCCATATAGTAAGTCCCCCCTGTGTCAATTCACTTACCTTTGCTCCGCGCGTTCCTCTCGCCGTGTTCCCGCGCCGTTCTGGTCTTCAGGGCGGACTGTGAGAGGAGAGGAGTTTGTCACGCTGCCCCACCTACATCCTGGCTGCCCCGCCTACATCCTGACAACTGCAGAGTCCTGACTTTTGGGGAGGCCGCCCGAGAGGAGGGAGGGGAGGGGGCGGCCGCCCGAGAGGAGGGAGGGGAGGGGGCGCCCGGCACACAGAAGAGCCGCTCTAAAGTGTGTAAAGAGCCGCATGTGGCTCGCGAGCCGCGGCTTGCCGACCACTGGCTTAGTTTTATAAAATTAGAGGTTCAGAACACATTTGAATGAGAGAACGATTTAGAATGCAGTAGCCATATTGCTTTTATAGCCTTGTTGGAGAGTCCAGAGCCAAATATACAGTTTGTGATCAGTAGGTCAATTTTGAACTACAGAGCTACAGGAAGGTTGCTTTACTTCCTAGGCATTCCTCCTGCAGTAATTGGGTTTAGAATGAGAAGACTGGCTCACTCTGCGAGGCCTGAACTTCTCCTAAGAAAGAGTTACAGAGCAAACATAATGTTGTGGCCTATGATACACAGGGCCGTACACAGCGATTGATTTTATGTAATGTCTGCTAGGGTACCCTATGGATAGAAGAAAAGAATAAAGCAGAGGGTGTTCAAGCCACAAGCTGTAATATCCTTCTATTAGCTAATTGTGTCTTTCTTGAACAAGTGATACAGTAAGCACAATATTATAAGGATTATAGATCTTTTTATGATTTTAGTTGTGCATTATGTGTTCTTCCTCCACAGCATCACTCTGGTCTGTAATTAAAAAGAACAAAAAACTAATTTAGAGGGCAGCACAGTGTTTAATTGAGGGGTATGGAATTTTATTTGATCACTTGTTTTAAGTTATAGGCTTTTCATCTGTAGGCGCTTGAAAGAATAGCCTTTGTTGCACCTTGCCATTTTTACGTTTTTGTGCTCTGAGACCGTTTAATTCTCTTTCAGGGATCTTTTTCCCCCTCTGTTTTACTTCCCCCTTCCCCATAGAATATTCAGTAATATCTAAAGATGGAAATAAATGCAAAACACTTATGTCTGTGACTTTTTCTTAATTTTTTAAGCGTTTTTTGTTCTGTTTCTGAGAGTGTTCTGCAGAGATGCATGCCATTGTGGATTTTAAGGAAGGTGGAGAAGGTTCACTTTAATTCTTTAATGAAAGGCAAAATTAACGCTGCCTGCAGAGTTTGGCAGGTGTTGACACTTTTCAACTGCCTCAATTCACTTCTAATGAAACTCACCACAGCTGTGCCTTAAATGCACTGTAAATGCGCCTATGGAGTTTACAGTATGTTTGAGGTGCAGTTGCAAAGCATCAGAAGTGATAATTTCTCATTTTAGCCTTGTGGGGTTTTTTACATCGCACAGGGCGTTTGAGGAGTGTTGCTTGATGCAACATGGATGCCTGTACAACATATCCAAAATGCTCATAAAGACTATAGGTTTGTAAATACACTTTAAGGCCACTTTAGGATTCAACACCTGTGTGTTAAACATTTTTCAAGTTTATTTCAGGAAAGAGTTCTGTACTTATGGGGTCGTAGCTTAGGTTCTGAAACAGGTTCATGAATCCCTTCATTGTTATATTGTTTCCTTGAATTAATCTTCTAGGTCCACTAGTTTAATCTTATACTTAAACTCCAACTACAGGCAAAAAAACATTTTCCCATGCAGTGGGGCTGTGTCCACACTGCATAGGTTAACTGCTTGTTCTTTTTTCTAGGGAAGAGGAGAGTGGAGATAACTTACTTGATCCTCCCAGCACGGGACTGGTCTGGCTCCCCTTTGCTCCATCAGTCTTGAATAGCGGACTGTTCCTGATGTCACGCCCAGAGCAGGTTCCACAGACCAGGAACAGTCCACCGCTGGACCATAGGGGAGGAGAGCGCCTTTTTTCCAAAGGATCAGGTGAGTATGAGCTTTTCTGCTCACCCCCTAGACAAAACAAGCAGTTGACCCGTGCAGTGCAGGCACAGCCCCACTGCATGGCAAAAAAATGTTTTTGTCTGGAGATGGGCTTTCATCTATTCACCTTGGTCATTATGAGAGCCTACCAGATGATTGTGAGTTAATGCATTTTGCAATTGGATTGTGCTTTAAAGGTTTTTTTTTTCCATTTGTTGAACTATATGGACTGTTTTTTTTTTTTTTTTTTTTTTTTTCTGTTTTTTTTGTTTAATCCGCTCTTACTATGTAAATATTGTCAGTATAAATACTGTGCCTATCAGCCTGTCATTTTACAGGAAAAGATCATTTTTGTTTTTCTCTCCAGGTAGCAGAAACATGTCAGTTGGCTATACGCAGGATAGAGTGGCTTCAAGACCATCCTGATACCCATGATGACAATCCTTACCTTTCAATAGACCCTGCACCACCCTCTACAGAAAGGGATATTCCTTCTCTGCGTGATGCCCTTTTAGATGATACATTGCCATTATTTGAAAGATATCGTGCAATGTTTGCACTTCGCAATATTGGGGGCCAGGAGGCAGTCCTTGCTTTGACAGATGGTAAGTTTTACTACTGGGGATGCACCGAAATTCCGGAGGCTGAAACTTATCGGCTGAAAATAGCACTATCAGCATTTTGGCGATAGGAAAATGTCGCTACAGATAATTGCAGGCAGAGGGGCAGACTGACTATCCGGGGGATTGGGGGCCTGTGTGTAGTGCAGGAGGGGGGAGAGGAGGGCGGGGTGGGGGAAGAAAGGAGATGAGGTGAGCAGTGTATATAGACAGGCTCCCTCACTTGCTGCCGCTAAATATCATTGCTGTTTTTTAAATGCAATTGCTGGCTTTTTTTTAATTTTTTAATTTTATAGCTCCGAGAAGAGCTGTCATTCACCCCGGTGACATTACCCAGTGACCCTGCCCCTTTGTTTACTTTAGCGACTGGGCAAATGATAGCTCCTGCTCGGAGCTATAAAGTGAAGGGAAAATAAAGCTGGAAATTGTCAAAAACCGGCAATAATATTTAGTGGCAGCAAGTGAGGGAGGCTGTGTACGCTTCTCCCTCACTTTGTACACTGCCTACCCCTTGGCCCCTACAAAGAGGATCTGTCGCTTATATGCTATTACATAGGGGACTCTTGGTCCCCTATGTGATAGCAGAGAAATTTATACGTTTAAAAAAATAAAAATGCACATTAAAACTAAAGAAAATACAAAAAAATTTGAGTATTTGAGCCTCCCCACAGTATGGTTTTCAGCCAAGTGCACCCTGAATTTTTGGTTTCAGCTCCAGAATTTTCAATTTGGTGCACCACTACTTACTACATAAAGTATGTTTCTCCTATCACCTTTCCAGATGGCACACCTGAGAGATGAGGGGCTCCTCCCTACAGGAAATAATCAATTTACAGCTGTTATAAGACCCCTCCATTATTGATTTGTGTTTCTCCCTACATCGGAACGTTTGTTGTTTTCTGTGACCAGAAGACTGGGGAGGGTCTCATGGTACCCCGGTGAGGCAGGCATAAGGAGGCTGGGGAGGGCTGAACTAACCTGCAGGCTTGTTCCTTCTCATAGGTTGCCCCCACTTGGCACCAGCGCTCCGGTCACAGGGTAGTGTGAACCGCCGCTGTAAGATACAAAAACACTGCCCGGCTGCTGTCTCCTTTTCCCCCACATGGTCTTCAGTACCCATCGGCTAGCAGAGTAACATGAAGAGGTTGGTGTGCACTCCAAGCCTCTGGCTCCACAGGATCTTCCGGCTGCGTGACTGGAAGTGGGCGGTGTCAGGAATGTGGCTCGCAAGAGGTCTGAGAGACGCCATAGGACACCGGGGAGTTAGGAGGACAGCAGGGTGGCTGAGAGCGGTTAGCTGACATTCCAGGATGGCACACCTGGCTTTTGCAGCAGAGACCATGCCAAACCACCTAATGAAACAGGAGGAAGGGATGGCAGCACCGGTGACTGCAGGCAAGTTCAAGTCGGGACTTGGTAAGTGCCTTACTTGAGGGGGAGAGAGGGGGTCTAGATGGACCATGTCAGGTCAATCTGGTCAGGCTGGGTGAGTACCCCAATCCCCTCCCCTAATTATATGTTAAAGCCTGGCAGGCGGCCTGGGATAGGAAGTGAGAGAGAAACTAACAATTGGTGGTCCTCTTCTCTCTTTCAGAATCCCCAAGCAGGATCCAGGAAGTCCACTGATAGACCGCCTTCTGTACCCGCATGCTCTAGCTCCTCTAGGAAATGTGGTTATTGTGGGGGGAAGCTAGCTAGGTTCCTTGATAAACCATTTTGCTATAGATGCAATAACAAGGTGGCAGGGAAAGAGGCTTCAAGCTTGATGAAAGACTTCCTAGCATCTATGCAAGCGGAGATGGTAGCCACCATCCAGTCTTTTCGAACCTTGGTGGTACAGCCACAGGGCCCAGGCCCAAAGGAGCGAACTCCTAAAGAAGGCCCGTCCTCACAGGAAAGCCTTGACCCCAGTTTTTTTTTTTCTTTTTGTTTTCCCAGATGCTTCCTCCAGCCCAAGCCAGGGATGAGGAGGAGAGTAAGGGAGAGCTGGATTGTCAGCCTAGATCAGACCATAGCTCGGGAGGAGGTGAACCTAGATCTGGGTAGTGAAGCAGGGGAGGAGGTTAAGCCTGGCAGCACCTCTTCCTGCTGGAGGGGCTCCTTCAGGTGGTGTACACCACTGAAGAAATCCCAGAGACACTTCAACACACGATAAAGATGTATAGGAGCCTGGTTGAGGCCCATGCTTGCTTGCTCCCCTTCCACCAATCCTTAAGGGGGATTTAATCTTACAGGAATGGAAAGATCCTCAAAGGAGAATGGTCAGACCTAAGACTTGGAAAGAAGGTTCCCCTTTAAAGAGGAGGAGGAACATAAATTAATTAAGCTTCCCAGGGTGGATGCCGCGATGTTGTATGTTACCAATAGGTATGATCTCCTTCGAGGATTCAGGGAGCATTAAGGATTTGATGGACCGACGGTCTGAATCCCTCCTAAGGAAGGCATGGGATGCGAACACATCTGCCATGGCCCCAGCTCTGGCAGCAACCTGCATTGCCAGAAGTACAGACTTTTCGATGGAAAGACTGCTCAAACACCTGTCGCAGGGGACCAAGTCAGATAAAGTGCTAGATTCCCTCTCAGTGATAGGGAAGGTAGTAGCCTAGCTGGTGGATGCTGCGGTTGAAGCCATTAAAGCCTCAGCCAAAACAGCCGCACTTCTTAATTTAGCCAGAAGGGTTTCTGGGATAAAGCATGGGAAGGTGACATCACTTCGAAGGGTAAACTATGTGATCTCCCCTTTGAAGGCTGGCTGCTGTTTGGCCTAGGGTTGGGCAATGTGTTGTCCAGGTGCTCTGAGAAGGGGATGAAATTCCTAGTTAATCCCAAGTGGAAAAATATAAGAGATTTTTTTTTTTTTTTCGTCGAGCTTAGGGCAGAACCAGTAGGTCCCCAAAAAGGAACTGAATAAGAATCAGGGCAATGCAAAGGGAAGGCAAAGGAGAAATTTGCTGTTTTCCTCCCCAGGCGTCGGCACAAAAGAAATCAAGTGACGCCAGAATCAGGGTTGTGGGCTGCCTGTCACACTTTGCTTCCCAATGGGAGAAAATCTCGGTGCCTACATCTGCCAACTAGTACGAGAGGGCTATCGCCTGAAGCTCTCGTCAAGGCCCCCACAAATGATCACCCTAACATGGCTTCCTCTGGAAGATCTCTTGGAAGGAGTTCAGGAGCTGGTGGCGCAATTGGTGCTAATATCTGTACCCAAAAGCCAGCAATACCAGGGATTTTACCTAAAACACACTGACACTAACACCATTTAAAAAAAAAAAAAATCCTGACTTTTGACACCTGACCTTTGACCTTGACCCAAACAACTGAACTAGATCAAACCTTGATCTAGGTATTTTTTTTATTTTTTAATGTATTTATCTTTTTTCTTTTTTTTTTTTTTTTATGTACGAACACTTGTTTGCAAAGGGATAGAAAGGTACAATGTATCTCTCTCCTCCATTCAGAGAGAAAAAACAATGGGGGTGGGCTTCACAGTGACTGATCACTGTGATAGCCTCTGATTGGCTATCAGTGATCATGTGGCCAGGAGTCCAGGGTCCTGATCGTTAGAACAGGACCCGGGCCTCTCAGCAACACCCCAGTCTTTGTGCTGGGAGTGCGCTTTGCGACGCGCTCCCAGCACAGACAGGTACGCAGATATGCGGCTCCATGGAAAAAAGCCCAGTTCTCTGAGGCTGCATATTTGTGTGATGTTGACGTGAAGGGGTTAAACATTACTGGATTGAAGTGCTGTCGCAGTTAGACTTGGCCTTCGGCTGGAAGATGCTACAGGCTGTGGTCCCAGCCTAAGGTAGGCTTGCGGCTACTTGATTATCCTCTCAGGGGTGCCATCCTGGAAGATGATAGGAGAAAAACAACCATTAGACTTACCAGAAATGGCATTTCTACGAACCTTCCAGGATGGCAGGCCTACTTACCATCCTAGTAAGAGAGAGGACAAAACCCCTAAAAGTTGTAATTGGTGAGTGCCTGTGTATGATTCCCCTTGTGGACCGGTTTCAGTAGTTATTTTATTACAGACTGGAGGGGAAGGGAGGGAACTTATAACAGCTGTAAATTGTTTGTGTTTACTGTAGGGAGGAGCCCCTCATCTCTCAGGTGTGCTGTACTGGGAGGTTCATAGAAATGCCGTTACCGTCTGACGGTTGTTTTTTTTTTTTTTTTTTTTTTTTTTTTATTATCTTCTCCACGACAGCCCAGACAGCTTGTCTGCCTTCTTAAAAGGAAGAGGAAAAATTGCCATTGCTTTCCTGTCCGTATCCTACTCCTAAAGTAAGAGCAGAGCTCTGACTCCCTTTCCCCCCCCTATAGTTTCTGGGATGAGTGCATGGGGCCCTCCATAAAGGGCTATGATCTAAGTAGATGTCTGTGTTCTAGAATGTGGGTTTGTTCTTTTATAACAGTCCACTTAGCGGGTTTGCAGTGATATGAGGCCACCCATCCTTCGCTTACAACTTAAAACTGCACCAAGCCCTGTATTATCTTTACTCTTTGAGGGAATGTGCTTGTTTTTTACCTTGATCTTGCAATCTTCTAAATCATTTGGCAGTAGAATTTTTTTAAAGCTTGTTGGTTGCTCTTAACAATGGAATAGACTAACTCAGGATTGATACCTTCCTTCCTGTTGTCCCAATCGCCTCAAGTTTTCTTCAAGGCATAACTGTAATAATTTTGATTTACAACCCCTGGCAAAAAGTATGGAATCACCACTCTTGGAAAATGTTCATTCAATTGTTTAATTGTGTAGAGAAAAATAAAACCATCAAGGACATGCCTCAAAACTATTTATTTTTTATTTAACATTTCTACCTTCTGGAATGAAGAAACACATAAAAAAGAAAGAACTGTAGTCAATTGCAACTGTTTTTGCAGATCAAGCAGAGGAAAAAAAAATATGGAATCACTCAATTCTCAGGAAAATATTATGCAATCACCCTTTTTACTTTTCAGTTCTAAAGCATCAGATTACATCTTCTAATTAGTCTGTAGGTAAAAGAGTGCTTACACAACTTTGTGAGCTGTTGCACCAAGCTGATGACATGAATCATGGCTCCAACAAGAGAGATGTCAGTTGAAACAAAGGGAGAGGATTATAAAACTTCTTCAAAAAGATTGTGTGGGTAAATCATCACAGAATGTTGCAAAAGATGTTAGTTGTTGTTCCCTGTCAGTTTTGTCTTAAATCTGGACCAAGTACAAATTAAATGGGAAGGTTGTAAAAGGGTAGTGTACTGGTAGACCAAGGAAGACATCAAAGCATCAAGATAGAAAACTGTGCCTTGAAAAAAGAAAATGCCAACAAAAAAAAAATGGGTAGAAACGGTAGGCTGTGACCGAAGTGTAAGATATCATAAGAAATGGTATGTACATACAAAAAAGCCAAACAAAAACTATCAACACCTAAAAAGAAAAACCAAGATTACAGTGGGCTAAAGAAAAGCAATCATGGACTGTGGATGACTGGATGAAAGTGATATTCAGTGATGAATCACGAGCCTGCATTGGGCAGGGTAATGATGCTGGAACTTTTGTTGATATGGGGTTGCATGTCAGGTAAAGGTACGGGGGAGATAACAGTCATGAAATCTTCAATAAATGCACAAGTTTATATTGAGATTTTGGACACTTCTTATTCCATCAATTGAAAGGATGTTTGGTGATATCATTTTTCACAATGATAATGCATCTTGCCATAGGGCATATCCATGAAAATTTTCCTTTTTAAGAAAGACATATGGGGGTTTATTTACTAAAGCTGGAGAGTCCAAAATCAGACTCCCTTCTGCATAGAAACCAATCAGCTTCTAACCTCAGCTTGTTCAATGAAGCTTTGGCAATGAAACCTGGAAGCTGATTGGTTTCTATGCAGAAGTGAGTCTGATTTTGGACTCTCCAGCTTTAGTAAATAAACCCCATAATGTCAATGGCATGGCCTGCAAATAGTCCTGACCTCCATCCAATTGAAAATCTATGGTGGAAATTAAAGAAAATGGACCATGACAAGGTTCCAACATGCAAAGCTGGCCTTTCAACTGCAATAGGAGAAAGTTGGAGCCGGATTGATGAATAATACTGTTTGTCGATAAATCCGTGCCTCAGAGAATTCAAGCTGTTATAAAAGCCAGAGGTGGTGCAACAAAGTACTAGTGGTGTACTGTAGTGGTTGTTTTTTTTTATGATTCCATAATATTTTCCTCAGAATTGAGTGATTCCATATTTATTTTCCTCTGCTTGTTCTTCAAAAACAGTTGCAACTGACTACAGTTTTCTTTCTTTTTTATTTTAAGTGTTTCTAAAAGCCAGAAGGTTGGAATGTTATAGATTTGAGGCCTTTTAAGTGATTCATTTTTTTTCTACACAAACAATTGAATGAACATTTTCCAAGATTGGGATTTCCATACGTTTTTCCAGGGGTTGTACATTCTGTTCACTCAATCTGTTGTAATTCCAAGCCAGCTTACTCGCACTCCAAATTGTTTATCAAATGCAACACTAACACTTTCACTGATGTTTAATGCGTTTTATATATTCGCTAATGTATTAAATCATACATAAAATCTTACGTTAATTTTGTCTGCTTGCACTCCTGTAAGTCATGTCATATGGTGTCTTTTGTTTAGCTAATTTTAGATACTGGATTCACATAAATTTTTAAAATTTTTATACAAATTAAAAATTGTGAAAACCCAGTTTCTAATCCTTTAAATTGAAAAACAAAAATTAATACAGTTTTTCTTTCTTTTCTTTCTCGTAGAAGGAATATACATAGTGACTTGATCTTAAATTTTTTTATTTTTTCCCTGTCCAGGCTTAAAGTGTGGTGGCTCTCTGTTCCGCCATGAAATCGGATATGTTTTGGGTCAAATGCAGCATGAAGCAGCAGTCCCAGGGCTTGCGGCAGCATTGGATCTGATGGAAGAGAATCCTATGGTGCGCCATGAGTGTGCTGAAGCTTTGGGCTCTATTGCCCGAGAAGACTGTTTAAATGCACTTAGGGAGCATATGGATGATGTGGAGCAAGTGGTGAGAGAGAGCTGTGAGGTGGCTTTGGATATGTACAACTACGAGAACAGCGGGGACTTTCAGTATGCATACAGTGTGAACCAAATCCAGGAGCTGACTTAAGTTAAAGTTTTTTACTCCTTTTTTTTTTTCTTAAAGGTGCATTGCTGCTTTGTCATATTTATTTCATGAAATTTCACAGCTGTCTGTCCGTGAAAAAAGAATACTGGCAGGATACATTATTGCACAGAGAGCTTGCAAACCTCATTCCCAGCGTATCTTTGACCTTAACATAGTTTATCCTATGTGTTGCATTTTCTTTCTTGTCCACTGAAGAACAATGGACTCAGACATCTGGGTTATATTGCCGTCTACAGGAGGATTTGGACACTAAAAAATAACAGTCTGTATTATCTACCGCTCCCACCTTGCTTAGGAATAAGAACTAGCCATTTATTTATTTTTTTCTTCAAACAAGACTGCACTATTTGCTACTTGAGCTAGTCTATTTGTGCAGAACCAGCATATCATGAGCAAAAGCATTGCAGAACCTGTCTGAAATGTGACCTCTGAGCACTGGGCTCTGCCTTGTGGTGCTTTCTGACCTGTTAGCTGCAGAACACTTTCTAGATCTAGAGCACCATCACTTCCCTTTTTTTACTTTTGATTTCCACAGAAAGGGTTAAAATGTTGAGGAATTGCATGCAGCTTTAATAGGTGCAGTGTAGCATACCTTCTGTTCCCGCCATTCAGCATAGGGTAGCACCTTGCTGCCACTATAATCACAAGAGTGCTGTTCCATCTAGGTTAGTCCTTGCTGCCGTGACGTCATCACCCCTGGCTGTTTTAAACGCCTGCTTTTAGAAACCAGTTTGCTAGTTCCTTGGTATTCTGAGGTTGTCCCTGCCACGCAGTGCAATACATAGGATCCAATACACAACAGTTCTGTGGCAGCCTGCTGTGCTCCCTCTCAAGGACATGGAATGTTGTCTCCTGCTAGGGTTCTCTACATTCTTCAGTCTTCATTATCTGCCATGTGTGGTCCCAACCTTGAATTTATCCCATGAGGATTTTACTGCAGTTAAGCAGCATTGTAAAGACCAAATTGCAACTTTGAGTGTTGACTATCTGCAGAGGCTATAAGTGTACCTCAACACGACACCTTCCAGAATCCTTCTCTAACCTGCCAGCAGCTTTAGCAGCCTCTGAGCTTTCTGCTGCAGAGGCTCTATCTGCCAAAGAGTGTTTAAAAATCCTTGCCTGATGATATTGCTTCGGAGGATTCACATGTATCTGCGAAAGCTCCAAGGTTTAGAGAGGCTATTTAATCTCTGATGCAGTGTGTGTCACTTTAAAAGTGCAGACAGTTTTTTTTTTTTTGTTTTTTTTTTTAGTGGTGTAACAAGTCTGGGACCTCTTAGGGGCCCTAAGACTTCAAAAACTTTTCCCATGCTCATGTTACTTCAATACCTCTTTATAAAAGCTCTGGTCATTCTTGTAGAGGATGTGCCAGTGTTTTAGGAACCCGTATGTTTGGAAGTTTTTTTTCAAAATCCTGGTTTTCTCTGGCAGGCTCTGCTTTGCAGCCTGCCAAAGCTGTGTTGGTAGGTTGTCAAACATTAGAGAATTGACTGAACTCATAAAATTAATCCATGTTCTTTTCATGTTGATTCCTCTATTCATAACACTCTTAAAGTTTTACCAAACCCAGTACCCTGAATTCACTATATCTGGTCGCCAACAATACACAGAATATGAAAATACAATTGTTTCAGTAAATATAAACTGCTAAATACTTTTTTTCATTAGCAGTTAGAGCAGTCTTGCGACTTCTATCCGTGTCCAGCAGTGCAATTGTTGAAGCTTGTAGGTGGAGTTTTCATTCTGCTCTAGGAGGATAAATGACCCCTGACCTCTGTCTGGACAGTGCTGATTGGCCCTGTACAGATCACATGCACTCTCCCAAGAAAAAAAAAACCTCTAGCAATACACACCAAATTGAGCATGTGTAGAATGACTCCACACTCAGGAAATAAGAGGGGGGCACTGGAAAAAGGGGAGAAGTCAGGATCAAACACCATTTTTACACAATGCAGAGGATTAACTTCTTAAATTCCACAGTGAGTATAACATGCATGATTTAATGCATATACGGACTGATTTTACTGTTGTGGGTTTAGTAACACTTCAAGTGTGCATGCCCTGCACTACTGCATTGGCAGGTTAGTGAATGTCTTCTGTCTTATTTCCAGAGTGAGTCTATTGGTGGACCTGCAGAAAACCCTTGGTTGAAATGTCAGGTCTGAAGAGCACAAAAAAAAGCAAATTTTTCACCCTTCAAGAGTCAATGTCTCATTAGGGATGTTGTGGGTAAGAGCTCCACCACATCAGTAGGAGCCCTTGGCCTCAGGGTGGGAAGACCCACTTTGCCTGTCACTGCAAAGGGGAACCAGCTTCCCCTGCACCACTTTTTATGGTTCAAAAACAAATTATTATTCACGCCTCGGGGCTTAAAGTGATACTAAACCTAAAAATGTTTTTTACCTTAATGTATTGCGTGCATTAAGGTAAAAAAAACGGTTTCAGTTTCCCTGTGCTCCCCCTTCTCTGAAGGGAAGAGGGGAGAAGAAATCAGTGCTGTGCATAGCTGCATCTCTTCTCCCCTGGCTTCTTCCTCACACAGGGACTCGAACAGCAGTAGGCGCCATTGGCTTCTGCTGCTGTCAATCAGGTTCAGTGAGGAGGAAGTGTCGGGGGGCGCAAGTCCTGCTGTATGGTTTATGGAATGAGCATGCACCGTGTACCCACTAGCAAGTGATTTTCTATGGGGAACATACAAGAGGAGGAGTCAAGATCGCTGGCAAGGGAGGGGGCCTGAGAAGAGGAGGATTGGGGTCGCTCTCTGCAATGACATTTGCACAGAGCAGGTGAATATAACATGTTGATTATTTAAATTATTTAAAAAAATTCAGACTTTATTAATGCTTTAAAGCTGAATTTGAGCAATTATATATTTTGCATATTTGTAATTATGCATATGTGGTACCAAAACTGCCTCTGTAGAAGCTGCCTTGATTGCAGTGATAACAGCAGTCTGCTGGGTGCCACATCAAGTGGCTGCCCGTCTGCCTACTAATCACAGGGTTTACTCTCTAAATGTGGCCTCCATTCAGAGAATGTCTTTTTTTTTTTTTTTTTTTTTTTTTTTTCTCTCAAGGTGCAGAGGAAGGTGTAGTGGTGATGTAATTTTCATTGTGTCCAATAAGGGAACAACTTGCATTCATTGAGAAAAATGCAAGGCATTTGAATGTTGTCTGTGCTGAGCGAGCAATCCCCTGCGAACCGTGTGTGGAGTGGAAGCCATTCATATCTCACTATATGTGGCATAGACTACTACAATGCTACAGAATAGGATACTACATCAACCCAAAGAATTACACCAGGCTGGTCACCTTTTTTTTTTTTTTTTTTCGTCCGTGTCAAAATTCTGCTGTCTGCCCGCAGTATAACCTAGATGTCTCTGAAACCTGCATACCTCCATGGAACTCTTAAGAAAAGGATTTTCCGGTTAGCACAAAAATCCTATTTTTGGTATAAGCCAAAAGGCAAAAAAGTGTTACTAAGTCAAAACAATTTTTATTTATTTTGAACAAAGCTGTAAGGGGTTAGAACATCTGTCAGGTTTTTATTGCTTGTCTTGGTGACTATTGTAACAGGTATTACAGGTGAGGGAAAAATAAAACCTTTTAAGTTATCGCACAGGAATAGAGGGGAAATCTTTCAGCAGAGACATTTATTCAGGTGACAACTGTTCAAGAAGGGGTTTCCCTTACTTTAGAAATTTCCCCTCATTTCCTGTTTTGTCTATGGGACAGGAAGTGATGGTAATTCATATAAATGGGACACATATGGTTGGAAAAAACCTGACTGATTTTAAACATTCCCTACGTCATCCAAAATAAGAAAAACATGTTTCACCTTAGATATGCTGTAGAGCTAATTTAGGACAAGATGCACTTCTTGTATATTAGATGTATATAAATATGAAATTTTAATTCAAGACCACATGTCTGTTAAATTTTAAGCTGGCTATCAACTCTTACAAAAGTATATAAACTAATGAAATTAAACTTTGCAACATCAGAAAAATGTTTCTATGTAGTGATTTGTAATGATGATTTGTTTGAGGTCAAAAGTGCTGTTAAGTCTGGACCAGATCAAAGAATGGAGCCTTTTTTTTTTTCCTATATGGAGTGGCAGTTAATTGAAACCTGTCAGGGCTTATTTCATCGGCCTTTAAGGGAGATTTCTCTTTGTTACTTGTCCTGGAGACAAAACTAAGAGCAAATCTTTTCATAGTGAGGGCAGTTCCTTCTTAGGCGTCATTAACGCTATGTCAAACCTGGGTGTGTATATGTGTGTATATGTATGTATGTGTGTGTATGTATGTGTATATATATATATATATGCATGTAGAGGCAGTACAGTGGCTAAATGGTTAGCACTAGGGTCATTGGTTCGAGACCAAACCATGGCACTGTTTGCATGTTCTCCCTGTGCTTGTGTGCATTTCTTCGGAGTAATCCAGTTTCCCACACTCTGGTAGGTTAATTGGCTTCTGTCTAAATTGTCCCTAGTATGTGAATGTACAATAATACATATCAAAAAATTAAAGGAACACTTTCTAATCAGAGTATATCATCAAGTCAATTAAACTCCTGGGATCTTGATCTGGTCAGTTAAGTGGCAGAGGGGGTTGTTAATCAGTTTCAGCTGCTTTGGTGTTAATGAAATTAACAGGTGCACTAGATGGGCAACAATGAGATGACCCCCAAAACAGAAATGGTTTTACAGGTGGAGGCCACTGACTATTTTTTTTCTTCCTTACTCATCATTTCTGACCATTTTCACTAGTTTTGCATTTGGCTAGGGTCAGTGTCATTACTGGTAACATGAGGTGATACCTGCACCCTACAGAGGTTGCACAGGCAGTCCAACTCCTCCAGGATGGCACATCAATATGTGCTATTGCCAGAAGGTTTGCTGTATCTCCCAGCAGTGTCTTAAGAGCATGGAAGTGGTTCCAGGAGACAGGCATTGACTCTAGGGCAGGGCTGTAGAAG